CCCAGCACACGGGAGGCAGAGGCAGGTGGATCTCTGTGAGTTCGAGACCAGCCTGGTCTACAAGAGCTAGTTCCAGGACAGGCTCCAAAACCACAGAGAAACCCTGTCTCGAAAAACCAAAAAAAAAAAAAAAATACATATAAAGCATGGCTTGTGTTGTGTTGATGTTGGTATGATACTGGGAACCAAGGCCAAGCCTTACACGTACTAGGAAAGTCTAGGACAAACCCCATCCCCAGCTCTAGGCTGCTCTGAGATAAGGAATCAAGGAAGTTCAGAGACTTCTCTGAAGTTGCCCGACACTATTTGAATCCAGATCTTCCTGTCAACTCTGAGCCCTTGGCTGCTGTCTCTGAGAATCTAAATTCTCTATGGTGAGAAAAGCTGAAGGGATTGCACTCAATGAAGAACAGAGGGAGCGAGGGAAACAAGCAAGAGCAGCAGTGGCCTTGATGGCATCGTCCTCATTGACCCTCCTCTTCTCCACAGGAAGTCCTGCCGCCAGAGGAGCCGCTGGTCCTGTCCACCGGAGACCTACAGCTTCTGCACTTCTACGCAGGGCAGTGCCAGAGCCACTACTCGGCTCTGCAGGCTGCTGTGGCCGCTCTCATGTCCAGTACCCAGGCCAACCAGCCGCCGTGTCTCTTCGTGCCCCATGGCAAGCGAGTGGTGGTGGCTGCTCACCGCCTGGTATTTGTTGGGGACACCCTAGGCCGGCTGGCAGCCTCTGCACCTCTCCGAGCACAGGTCGGAGCTGCTGGTACAATGCTAGGCCAGACTTTGCGGGCTACTGTGCTTGCTGTCAAAGGGGCTGCCTTGGGCTACCCATCTGGCACCGCAGTCCAAGAGATGGCACGGTGTGTAGCAGAGCTTGCAGGGCAGGCCCTGCGCTTCACCACCTTGCTCGCTGGCCTACTCCCCTGAGGGCCTGTTCCTGCAGCCTTAGCTTCCCCTGCCTGCCAGAGCCCTGCTCCGTGAGGGTGGCGAGAGGGCTCTGTCAGGGAAGGAGAGGATTCTCCCCCTTTTTCATCTCTTTGGGTCATCTTAGCCACTCACCAAGGCATCTCTTTCCCCGTACCTACTGCTTTTTGTATGAGCCATTTTGTATAAATTATTTATATTTAATATTTCTTGCTTTGTCCAGGCAGGCATCATCTGCGGGTGGGAAGGGACTGGATTTTCCTCATCAGGCTGGGGTGGAGGTCGCTGTACTGCCTTCTGCCTTGGGGGTTTGGAACACGCAAAGTCTGGTGACTGAGACGTGGGGCTACACAGAGCCTCTCTCCTGTTTCTTGACTGAGAATGACCAGCGCGTCACGCTCTTCTGAGAGCGGGGCAGGCAGTAATTGCTCAGAACGTAGGAGTCTGGGAAACTACTAGAGGGCTCTGCCCCTGACAGGTCAGGCAAGCTGGCCATGGTTAAATAAACCCTGCCGTCTGGTCCCTGACTCTGCTTCTTGAGAGCCTGAGGGGGAAGACATAGCACCCCTCCCCATTCCTGAGGGACACACCGTGTGAGGGGTAATTTTATCCCTTCAAAATCTATCTGATAGACTAGTCCTCAGCTCCTGCAATGGGCCAGACAAAGTTCCACAAGTACACAGTGAATGTACTACGCCAGCGAAACTGGGGTAGACATCAAGTTATCACTGTGAGTGCATTTTTACAAAGCCAGGATGCATACTTCAATCCTAGCACTTGGGAGGCAGACGCAGGTGGATCTGGATCTGTGAGCTAGGCCAGCCTGGTCTACATTGTGAGACCCTGTCTCAGAGAAGTGACTGGTGAGGGAACTAAACAGGTGGTAGGAGAGACCAGGTGAAGGGAGCAGCTGGGGAAGGGGATGCCTGAGCCGACCCAGAATGGAGGAACTAAGGAGGGTCTTAGTGCCAGCGCTTCCAGACCTTGCTGTCACATGACATCACTAAAGAGGTGCAGATGTGGAGAATGTAGCCACACCAGTCCCAAAAGGCCCCTCTTTAAAGAGCACCCCAAAGGGAAAGGAAACCTCAGTTTACCTCCACAGGCCAATGCTAACCAACTGAAAAGCAGCTGTTGGATGACCTGGCTTCCTCAGGTGACTTTAGGAGAGTCTGTCCCTTTCACTTTCCCCAGGCTTCACCACTTAAGACTGTCGGAGACCGCAGATAAATGCAGTAGGTTAGAAAGTCTCAGGAGTTTGATGAGATCAGGGCCTATGGCTCAGATGACATTGACTCCAGCCATTAACCACAGGAGAAGGCAGCTGTCATCACTTTGGTTAACCTTTCCCAGGAACCTGGCTCAGTGACTGTCGGGGCACCTCGAGTTTTAATCATACTCTTTGGATCTTGGCACCCTTGTGCATTTGCCTCCTCGATTTTGAGCATCTTTCTACTTGAAGGAAAACATTTTCAAATATGGGAGCCAACAAATTCACCCCTATACATTGAAGGCCATTCCCATCTCCCAGATATGCCTTCCAGAAAGGATCGTGAACTCAGAGGAGGGGGTCTGTCTTCAGTTCAAATCTTAGATGTGTCGTGGACTTGTGTGGCTGTGGGTAACTCACCCCTCTTTTGAGACTTGCCTTTAGCTTTAGTATGAGGGTGATCAAAATGGCCTTACAGGACTTTGGGGGGGGGAAGCATAAAACTAAAGAATTATTAAGCTGGACTATCACACTTCTTTATTCCCAGCACCTAGGAAACAGAAACAGGTGGATTTTTGTACCTGGTTCACATAGTGAGACCATGTCTTAAAAAAAAAAAAAAAAAAAAGGGAATTATTGTCCCAAGATAGAAGGCTGTAGACCAGCTAGTCCCAGGATTTCAGGTCATAAGAAGCCCAGTAATTCTGAGACACTAAGGGGAGATGCTCTAAGGGCACTTATATTAGAATTTCTGAGCAGAGGAAGTAATGGATCAACGATCCTGTGACTTAGTCGTCTTCCAGGGTGGTTCAGAGGAGATAATCACAAGGTCACTGAGACTACCCCTTTCTGGATACTCGACCTCTGGAGTGGCAGGTGGAATAGTCTGTCAAGCATTGCATCTCTTCAAGGAGGAATACGTGCCTAATTTTAATATCCATATGCCTGGGTATCCAGTTGAAAATTATGGCTCAAGGGTCTGGATGATGCCAAGGTTGTGCATGTTTAGCAATCTCCCTAGTGGTATGGATGCAGCGAGTCCATCAACCGCACTTCGCACAGCAAGTCTGGGGTTTAGGAGAGGTGTCTTTGAGGCAAAGAGACTTGAACTGACAGCCAAAGGCTAAGGGAATGTGGAAGAAGCCCTTGAGCATAGGAACCAGCCTGTGTGCAAAAGCCCCACGATGCTGGGAAAACAGGTCAGCCAGGTGGTTAGAATGCAGGGGTGGGGGGGCTGGAGAGATGGCTCAGAGGTTAAGAGCATTGCCTGCTCTTCCAAAGGTCCTGAGTTCAATTCCCAGCAACCACATGGTGGCTCACAACCATCTGTAATGGGGTCTGGTGCCCTCTTCTGGCCTGCAGGCATACACACAGAAAGAATATTGTATACATAATAAATAAATAAATATTAAAAAAAAAAAAAAGAATGCAGGGGTGGGGGTGGTGGAGGGAGAGGTGGGATGCGACTGCAGGGAGCACGTGACCAGGCAGGAGGCTCAGGTATGCATCGTCTAGACTGTTTTCCTTGGTGAGAGAAGTCATTGAAAGCCAGTGAGCAGGCAGAGATATAGTCCTCCATCTGGGGGCCTGGCAAGGTGGTCCAGCATGCGAGCGTGGCAGTCACTCTTCTCCAGAACCCATGAAGATGGAGGGCTCCAGTATCTTTTGACCTCCACCGTATGCAGCACGGCATGCACACCTACTCATACACATCACACACTTACACACTAATAGATAAAACATTTAAATACCTGCTTTAAAAAAAAAAAAGATCATTCTATCTGCACCTTAAGTGCAGAGAGAAACAAAGTGGGCTCCTCACAGCAGCTGGGAACTAGGAGCACAGCAGCCCACCCGAGGGAGAGAACTATAGAGGTAGTAACAGCATTTTGTTAGGGACTTGATGTGAGGTGAAGAAGGCATTTCAAGGGCAAATGCGGGACACCTGACCATAGGTAAATGATGAGGGCGCCATTCCCTCAAAGATGGGGGCATTATAGAAGATGCCCGGATTACGGGAGAGGGTGTTGTATGATTCCTTTCTTGAGGACCCAAAGGGACAGTCAAGGTTATATGGTTACCGAGAGGTTGCTTCACTGACCCAGGACGCTGAGCAGAGGTGGAAATAGGAAACAGGTGCATACTGTCTGGGTGGATGATCTCTTGCACGTATAGCACAGAGGCAATGGCGTGAGATGGGAAGAACGGCATAAACGGAGTGGTGCCGAAGAGGAGGAGCGTGTGGCTGCGGTGAAGAAAATAAACCTGGGGAAGGTGAAACTTGGCGGTCAAAGGAGGAAGTTTAGAAACAGAGGTGGTCAATAGTGCCAGATGTGGATGGAAGTGGCGATTCAACGCAGCTGGATGTGGGGAAACCCAGAGACCTGCGCCCCAGTAGAGAACTGAGGCTAGAGAGTGACGCATAATGCCAACCGATTCCTCCATCTGCATAAACCATCTTGCAATTTACCGAATTCCACATCTGCCTCCCCTAGAAACCACCTCCAAGGGTATCTTGTCCATCCTACAAATCCTTCAGCTCTCACATACGTCCTGGGATACAGTAGGCACATAATACATTTTATTGATGAAATTAATGTGGAGGGGTGGAGAGTGGATGCGTGACAAGGAAGACAGGAATGAGGAGGAATCTTGGTGTTTTCCCCAGCTTCTTCTATCCTTCACATTTTTCTTTTAAAACCGCAATGGCCTGCAGTCCCAAGGAACAAACAGCGGAGACCCCCCCCCCCCCAGCCTCTACTTCCATGCGGGCCCTGGCCCCCCTTCATCTCTGACAAACAGTCTGGACCCAGGTTCTGCTGACGTGGGAAGGGGAGGAGAGTCTGGAGGAAGGGGAGGGGAAAGCAGCGCAGAGACGGTAGAGACGGAGGAGGCGCCCGCGGCTGCAGAGCTGCAGAGCGGGGTCTCGCGGCCCTCGGCGTCCCAGTCCTGCGCACACAGCTGGCCAAACACCAATTCATTCTTCTGGCGCGGCCGACAGGGCCCCTGCGGTCGGCAAGCTGGCTCCCCGAGTGGCCACCGGGACCCCCGAGCCCAATGGCGGGGGCGGCAGCAAAATCGACAGCACCGTAGAGATCGCCCCCAACGCCAACGGAGTAAGTGTCAGTGCCCTGGGGGCTCGGCCGACCTCTCCCCGCCCTCCTCCCACCCACGTCCCCGCGTGCCCACGGCCTCCCCTGCCTCACCTTCTCTCCCTCCCACCCCTCGCCGCAGCAGGTCGGGAGCCTCGGAGATGCGGTGCCCCCAGAGCAGCTGCAGGGTGAGCGGGAGCGCCGGAGGGAGGGGGAGGGCGACGCGCTGGGCAGCAGCCTGTCGCTGGCCGCGCCCCCGGGCCCCCTCAGCTTCGAGGCCCTGCTCGCCCAGGTGGGGGCGCTGGGTGGCGGCCAGCAGCTGCAGCTCGGCCTGTGCTGCCTACCCGTGCTCTTCGTGGCGCTGGGCATGGCCTCAGACCCCATCTTCACGCTGGCGCCCCCGCTGCACTGCCACTACGGCGCCTTGCCCCCCAACGCTTCGAGCTGGGAGCAGCCCCCCAACGCCAGCGGCGTCAGCGTCGCCGGAGCGGCCCTAGCAGCCAGCGCCGCCAGCCGAGTCGTCACCAGTACCGACCCTTCGTGTAGTGGCTTCGCTCCGCCGGACTTCAACCATTGCCTGAAGGACTGGGACTATAACGGACTACCAGTGCTCACCACCAATGCCATCGGCCAGGTGAGGCAGCTGGGCGGGATCTGGAGTGGGAGCCGACCAGGGCAGCGAGGACCCGGCCTGATGCCGCTGCACCCCTCTCATATCCCCAGTGGGATCTGGTGTGTGACCTGGGCTGGCAGGTGATCCTGGAGCAGATCCTCTTCATCTTGGGCTTCGCCTCCGGCTACCTGTTCCTCGGTTACCCCGCGGACAGGTGAGGACTTCTGTGGGGGCAGGGCAGATAGAACAGATGGGGTGCTGGCAGAGCTAGCCCAAGCAGCTGGATCTGCAAGAGGACAAGGATGGTTCCACTGACTGTGCTCTACAGTCTCCTCTGGACTCCTGGTTAACAGTCTGTCTCAGTCTCAGTTTCACCCCCCCATCAAGAAATACACCTATACCCACTTCCACACAAGAAAATGACCTCACATTCGTGACCTGTTGCCCGTAAGTCAGTGGCCTCATCTCCAGAGTTAAAAGTCACTTCCTCAGCCAAAACCTTGTCTCCACATTCCATGTTCCATCTACGCCTTCGTTGCCCTTATAATCCCAGCTCCCTTCCTTTCCATCTTTATGGATTGACAGATTCCTCTCCACTGGCTAATAGCCTACCTCGACTGTTAGCCCCTGTCAGTGGCCACATTCCTAAAACTTAATTCCTAAATGTCAATAGCACCATTCCCATCGACTTTACAAACAGATGATCCCATTCCCTGCGGTCATTAGCGATCTCTGGGAGAGACTCTCTGAAGTAACCCCTACTCCCATGCCTTCCACCCACCAACTCCAAGAGAACCTCACAGACCAACAATCCTATCCTCGTGGCTGCCCAGAGCTTTCAGATCCTCTTGGACCAAAACCCACGTCTCCATGAGTCAGTCCTCTCCAAAGACAACAGGTCATCTGGCTAGCTAGTAACTCTGTGTAGATCCAAATCTCTCTCCTCTTCTGAAAGCCAGGACCACTGACCATTGACCTGGGATCTATAGTCCCACCTAAGTGACTGATGGCTCAAACGCATTTATGGCCAGGTTCCTTAAAGCCAGTAGCCATCCTCCCTGGTTAATAACCACATATACCTGTGAACCGATGATCCCACACCCAGAGTAGTAGCTAATCTTCAAGCATCCGTAGCTGAATTTTCACATGCTATGGAATAATGGCCTCCTTCCCAATGGTGGATAATTTAGTCTAAAGTCAGAGGCACATTAATCAAATTAGCCCATCCTTAGGAAAAGCAGTCCTTACCTATCACATTGATTGCTCTATTCTGAGGTATCAGCCCCTCCCCCTAGCAAGGACCATCACTCATCCCCAGCCGGTAACTCTGTCTTTGCTTGGGGTCAGTGACCATCACCAGTAGTTCATCTCCCTATCCTTCATGTCCATTTTCATGGATTAATCAGTTAGTCCCATTGGCACCCACCCATCTACACTAAGACCCCCAATTCTATCTCTAGAGATCAGTTCTCCAGCCTCCAAAAGTAAGTATTCTGAGCCTATGCATTAACAGACTCAGTCCCCCGGATCAGTAGCTCCGTGTCCTCACCAGTCCCCATTCCCACTGTCTACCCATGTGTGCAATGAGACCCAAGCCGCCACTTTATGAAACAGTGGTCTCATCCTCAAGGGACGACATCTGTATCATCACTGATGAATAAATAGCTCTCTGTGTGTGCTGCTGGCCAGTGGTTATCCCACAGACCAGGAGCTCCTACCTCATAGATCAATGACTGAGCAAGATGCGATCTGTTACCTCTGATCAATACCTCTCTACCAATGAGTATGAAGGACCCAAGCCTTCTAAGCAGAAAGAATCTCATTTTCCACCCTCAGGGCTGATCTCACATCCATGACCAAAGCCCTAATCTCTGACTGGTAGCCCTGTCCCCAAGAGTCATTTGTCCCCATAAAACCATAGGCACATTCCAGGACAGGCTCCAAAACCACAGAGAAACCCTGCCTCAAAAAAAAAAAAAAAAAAAAAAAAAAAACCATGGGCACACCTCATTGCCCAGTAGTCAGACATCTTGTATGCCTAGCCCCAACTCCCTTCCGTCTTTTCTTTCTTTCTGTCTCTCTCTCTTCAATTTTAGACAGGGTCTGTCAGTATGATAGTCTTGACTGTCCTGGAACTCCTAAGACTGGCCTCAAAGTCATAGAAATCCACCTCCCTCTGCCTCCCATGTGCTGGGATTAAAGGCGAGTGCCACTGTGCCCACTCCGCCACCTGGCTTCAGTACAGCTCTTGCTCCCTGAACTTCATCCTCATACCAGCTTTGAAGTAGGCAGTACCTCCTGCACCAGAAACCCTTCCTACTTTGTAGGTTTGGCCGCCGTGGAATTGTGCTGCTGACCTTGGGGCTTGTGGGCCCCTGTGGTGTGGGAGGAGCTGCTGCAGGCTCTTCCACTGGCATCATGGTTCTTCGATTCCTCCTGGGCTTCCTGCTAGCTGGTGTTGACCTTGGTGTCTACCTGATGCGTAAGTGGCACCCTGCCTAAGATCTCTGCCTTGGGTCTCCTGTCTGCCTTTCTGCAATTGCAGGCCATTTCCACTGCCCCTAGCTCCCAAATGTCAGCTGTCGTTCTGATCTGTTTATTTAGTTAGTTAGTTAGTTTGAGGTTGGATATTTATTAATTTATTTATTTAGTGGATATTTTTTGAGGTTGGTTATGGAAGGGAAGGGGAGAGGGAGGGAGAAGGGGGCAAGGAAAGAGAGAGGGAGGAGGGAGAGAGAGAGAGAGAGAGAGAGAGAGAGAGAGAGAGAGAGAGAGAGAGAGAGAGCGGGGGAGAAGGGTGGGGGAGAGGAGCCATGGCAGCAGCTACCTCTTTGGGAGAGAGACAGAAAGCCTGGCCTGGTCCAGGCAAGGGTCCTGCTTCTTCCCACTCCGTCCTCCCACTTGCCATCATCTTGAAAGCCCCAACCTGACCTTCTTCTGTCAGAGAAGAGTCTCTGATTTTAAAAATGAATATCAGCCACATATGGTGGCATGCAGGTGTGATTCCAGTACGTGCGTGCGAGGCTATAGCAGAAAGGTTGAGTTCAAGTGTGGCCTGGGCTGCATTGTGAGACCTTGTCTCACACCTAAAGGAAATCCTAAGAAGCTATGTGACCTTGGACAAAGGTCGAATTGAAGGTCAAATAGAACAAATAGGAAAGGACCTGTAAATTAGGAATGCTGAGCGCCCCCAGCGACTCTGATCCTAAAGTCCAGCCAGGTTTAAGGAGCGGGGTCTGGGCTCTTCCTCCTTGCCACCCAGAGGTTAGTCTGTGGGAGGTGACGGCTGCAGCTTCTGTTGAGGGCCTGACCTAGCTTTCCGTCCTTTCCTCCGTTCTTCCCTCTCTCTTCTACCTCATACCTCCTCATTCCCTGGCCTCTCCCCCCTTCATCCCTGCTGTATCTCCAGGCCTGGAGCTGTGCGACCCAACCCAGAGGCTTCGGGTGGCCCTGGCAGGGGAGTTGGTAGGGGTGGGAGGGCACTTCCTGTTCCTGGGCCTGGCCCTTGTCTCTAAGGACTGGCGATTTCTACAGCGAATGATCACCGCTCCTTGCATCCTCTTCCTGTTTTATGGGTCAGTATCACCCTTCACCTGTGGCCTGCTTCTTCCCATCTTTACCTCCAGTGTAGTCCCTAGTCCCCACCAACTGCCCAGTTCCTCAGAGGGGGTAGGGTCCCATCCCGGGGTACAGAGAAGGAAGGCTTCACAGTATACTCTACCGCCTGCCCGTAGCTGGCCTGGTCTGTTTCTGGAGTCCGCACGGTGGCTGATCGTGAAGCGACAAATTGAGGAAGCCCAGTCTGTGCTGAGGATCCTGGCTGAGCGGAACCGGCCCCATGGGCAGATGCTAGGAGAAGAGGCCCAGGAAGCCTTACAGGGTAAGAAGCCAGGGGTCTCTGCCGCGATGACTTCTGTGTGTCCGTATTTGTGCCTCTTCACCGTGGGAGAGCCCGGGGCTCAGCTGTCTCTGATTGCTGCCGGCTCTCTCCTGCAGAACTGGAGAATACCTGCCCTCTCCCTACAACATCCACCTTTTCCTTCGCGTCCCTCCTCAACCACCGCAACCTCTGGAAGAATCTGCTTATCCTGGGCTTCACCAAGTGAGCCTGGCTGTCTGAGCTGAGGGCCAGGCCAGTAGCTGGGATAGGGGCTGGTTGGGTGGGAGAAGCCTCTTGACCGGGTGCAGAGGATGAAGCTGTGGAGAGGGACTCATGCCCTGCGTTGTTTCCCCGCCCTGTTGTGCAGCTTCATTGCCCACGCCATTCGCCACTGCTACCAGCCTGTGGGAGGAGGAGGGAGCCCGTCAGACTTCTACTTGGGTTCTCTGCTAGCCAGTGGCACGGCAGCCCTGGCCTGTGTCTTCCTGGGGGTCACCGTGGACCGTTTCGGCCGCCGGGGCATCCTGCTTCTCTCAATGACTCTCACAGGCATTGCCTCCCTGGTCCTGCTGGGCCTGTGGGATTGTGAGTATCTCTTCTTCTCTGCATTGTGGGAATCCTACAGTTAGGGAACCCCGACAGAATAACTTAGCTACTACGTCTGACATAGGCCTTCCAAGACTCAGACATTCCCCAGAACACTGTCCAGCTGTGTAAACTTGTCTGTTCCGCCATTCCATAACGGAGTGCCCAGAACCCAAATAGCAGGGACCAGAGAGTTTGAGAGCCAAGTGAATGACGTCAGAGACTAGGCCAGGTGTGTGTTCCCTACCTCCATTCATATCGACCATCCCTTTTGGTCCTCCAGATCTGAACGACGCTGCCATCACCACCTTCTCTGTCCTTGGACTCTTCTCCTCCCAAGCTTCTGCCATCCTCAGTACCCTCCTTGCTGCTGAAGTCATCCCAACCACTGTGCGGTGAGAAAAGGGTGCTGCCCGGGGAAGGGACGGGGCCAGCCAGACCTTGAGGTCTTTGGCTGAGGTAAAGGGCTGAAGGATGAAAAGGAGAAGCTGTTGGAGAACTGAGGTGAGGCCCACAGCTATCGGCTCAGTGCCCTCTCTGTGTTTCTCAGGGGCCGTGGCCTGGGCCTAATCATGGCACTTGGGGCGCTCGGGGGGCTGAGCTGTCCAGCACAGCGGCTCCACATGGGCCATGGAGCCTTCCTGCAGCATGTGGTACTGGCGGCCTGTGCTCTTCTCTGCATCCTCAGCATCATGCTGCTGCCCGAGACCAAGCGCAAGCTTCTGCCAGAGGTACTCCGGGATGGGGAGCTGTGCCGTCGGCCTTCCCTGCTGAGGCAGCCACCACCTAACCGCTGTGACCATGTCCCACTGCTGGCCACTCCTAACCCTGCCCTCTAAACAGCCTCTGAGCACCCTGGTGGGAGGCTGGCCGAACAGAAAGGCGACAAAGGGCCCTAGCAAGGTAGACAGGAAGGCAAGGCTGCCCCCCACAAAAGGTTCAAAGGCACCTCACTCCAGCCATCTAGGAGAGCTCAGAGGGCCGGTCCCCAACCCCAGTTCCTCCCTGCTGCTTTCTGTGCTTTGTCAGCAAACATCAGTATGGGGTGGGCAGAGCATCACACTATAACCCCCTTAGGTCTGGGCTCCATCCTGTGCCCAAAGACAGCTTCCCAGACCTCACTCTCTCTCGCTCTTTCATTCTGTTTCAATAAAAGACATTTTGAGTAAATGAGCATATGATAGCCTGGACTTCCCTCCCTTATGTTGTCCTTTTATCTCTCGGTGAAAGACTTTTCTCAGTGCGACACAAACCAGTAACAACCTCGCCTTTCTCACTGTGCCGCTCACTGCCAGCTCTGTGCCCGTGCCGCTCACGGCGGCTGTGCCGGGATGCTCACTGGCTCATTCCATCCTTGCAACAACCTCAAGGTTGGTGTGGGGAGCAATTAAGGTTTTAGGGAGCAATAAAAGTTAGCTTGAGGGCTGGAGAGATGGTGGTTGTGAGTGCTTGCTGACCTTCCAGAGGGCCGGGCTTGGTCCCCATACCCACACATGTCTGTCCACAGCTGCCTGGGACTCCAGCTCCAGGAATCGAACACTGTCTTCTGGCCCCCAAAGCACCCACGTGCGTATACTTAACGCTAACATACATGTGCCCAAAGATAAGATGATCTCTTTAAATTGACGTAAAAAAGGAATTTATGAACTGTGGAGCAGGTTAAAGAGAGAGCTCACAGGATGGAGAAGCGAACACACACAGCACAGGCAGGCCTCTGCCTGAACTCCAGTAGAAATCCTTCCGGGAAGCCTCATGCAAGTTTCTTTCTAGCAAGCATGTGATTGGCTAGCTCAGGTAGCGTTCTGCTCTACCCCTAATACTGAGGGCTGTGAAGAAGAAAACTGAGCAGTTAGGACAGGACTGGATGTTGTTTAGAAATGAACAGTGGCTGTCTACCATAGTGTTTCTCTTACTAGTGCTCAAGGACTTGATAACTTAGCCAAGGTTCCAAAGTTAGACCCTGTTAGAGCCCAGACAGAGCTAGAGTTCTGTTGAGCACAGTGGTACACGCCCTTAATCCCAGCTGTTGGGAGGCAGAAGGAGGAGGATCTCTGAGTTAGAGGCCAACCTGCTCTACATAGTGAGTTCCAGGCCAGCCAGAGCTGAGTGATTCCTAGGGTTTGGAAAGGGTAGGCTTTAACTTGGGGGTAGTTCTGAGAGAGGACTTTCAAGGAAAATGGAAGTCCTTCCTCTTCCAGAAAAGAGGTTGGTCATCGGCAGCACTGGGCTCCCTTCTTCCCTTTTGCCGATTCATGTCTAAGGCCGCACGCTATCAATAATGCCATGCTACAGGGCTCCAAATAAGTGTGTTCCTGGAGACCTCATAGGAGCATCCTCAGTGACTCCCCACAGTCCCTTGAGAAGGAGCCATTTTTATTCCTGCTCCATCACATCACAGAACAATGAGAACTGAGAGAAACTGAGGGGACTTGTGAGGGGCAGAGCCAGGCAGCAGCCTCCACTTACCTCTTGCTCATGGAGTCAAGTGACTGGTGTTGCCTTTTGCTGTGTGTGAAATGATTTGAACTACGGCTTGAACTGGAGTAGAGGTTCTCCTCCTCCCCCTCCCCCCCCTTTTTTTTTTAATATAGGATCTCCTTTTGTATCCCAGGCTAACCTCAAAGTCACAATCCTCCAGCCTCAGCCTTCCCCTGTGTCCTGGCTAAGGGACACTTCAATGAAATGCCTCATTCTGTAAAACCAACAAAAACAAAACCAACCGGAAAGCGACCATAGCTCCTGTATGGGAGGCAGGTAAAAGTGAACAGGAGAAAAGTATGAGTCACACAGGGAGGAGGGATCACCCCAGTTTCTAGACTGGTGGAAATGGTCAGTGTCTACAACTGACGTCAACTTCTCCAACCATATGGCCTTCCTAAATTCTCAGCCTATGGAAAAACTGACCTTCTCTGAGGATGTTGCAACTGTAGCTTGGAGAGGCACCTGTTGAAAGTTCCACGAGCTGGCCAGGGGAGTAGCCGGATCTTGAAGAGGGAGCACCTGCAGTCTTCTTCCTGCACAACAGCTGGAAATGGTGTGCGGGTCTGACGTAGGGTTCATCACTTTAGCCCCGCTGCCGTGGAATTATGTAATTCAAGCTGGCTCTGAACTCATAGTGACCTTCCTGCCCCAGCCTCCCAAGTGCTGGGACTAGAGGTGTGAGCCACCATATCCAACTCAAGACAGGAAATATCTGTAAGTGCCATGTGAGAAAGTATTTCTCTAATACTTTGCTTATTTTAAGTTTTTGTTGTTGTTTTGGTTTTTCGAGACAGTGTTTCTCTGTGTAGTCCTGGCTGTCCAGGAGCTCACTCTGTAGACCAGACTGGCCTCAAATTCACAGAGATCTGCCTGCCTCTCTCTGCCTTCCCAGTGCTAGGGTTAAAGGTGTGCGCCACCACCCAGCTATCTCTCTAATACTAAATTCATTGGGAACCCCCAAGAACTTCAAGGATATATAGTTTTCAGGCAAATAAGAGAAATGACCATTCTGTTTGTACTGGTGTTTTAGCTGGATTTACGACTAAGAGTCATAATGGACTATTGAGAGGGAAACAAGAGGACACAGGGCACATTTCTAGCGTTAGGAAGTTGTGTGAGATGAGCCTGTGAAAAGGAGCGCTGCTAGGTCTGGCAACTCAAGTTCCCACCATGTGGGTCAGAAGAACCCACTCTAACGAGCGGTCCTCTGATCTCCGCACGTGCACGTGGTACACCCGTCTCCCAACACACACAGTATCTCATTCTTTGAAACTATTTTTAGAAAGCTATTTAAAATGACACGATATCCACTTTTTGCCCTCTCAAGACAACCTCATCTGGTCACCAGGCAACCAAGTTTTACAATAGCTAGCCACCAACGTCTGGCTTGGCCTCGGGTCTGAAAGGAGCCCATGTTCCTCATCTTGTCCCCTTGAACTAAGAACTCCTAAGACTAATAATTGCAATCTGTAGAGAAGATGCGGACAAGTACAAAAGAAGGAAAACAACGGTCGTACAACAAAGTGCACCGCGTGGCTTACCGCTCAGTTCCCAAGGGGGCTGGGGAGTAAGTCGAGGGTGTTGACCGTCTGGTGTATAGAGCAGAGGCATTTTACTGCATCTCACATGGTAGAAAGGAAACTCACAATCGTATTTTTGAAGGGCACGAAGCATTTTTATAAAAGCAGAGCTCTTGTGACTTACCCAGCTCTCAAAGACTCTCACAGTGGGAATAGGTGTCATATAAATTTGGGGCTACAAACATTCAGACCGTAACAGGTTATACTCTATTAAAGAAAGATAGGGGGCTGGAGAGATGGCTCACTGGATAAGAGCACTGACTGCTCTTCCAGAGGACCTGGGTTCAATTCCCAGCATCCACATGGCAGCTCACAACTGTCTGAAGATCCAGTTCTAGGGAATCTGACACCTTCACACCAATGCACATAAAATAAAAAGTTAAATAAACCATAAAAAATATTATAAAAAAAAAGACGGGAAAAACTCCTTGACAAAAAACTCTTTTAAGGGCTGGAGAGATGGCTCAGTGGTTAAGAGCACTGTCTGCTCTTCCAGAGGTCCTGAGTTCAATTCCCAGCAACCACATGGTGGCTCCAAACCATCTGTAAAGAGATCTGGCACCCTCCTCTGGTGTGTGGGTATAAATGGAGGCAGAAAGTTGTATACATAATAAATAAATCTTTAAAAAAAATACTCTTTTAATCCGGTACTCAGGTGGCTGAGGCAGGCAGATCTCTGAGTTTGAGGTCAGCTTGGTCTACACAGCAAGTTCCAGGCCAGTCAGGAATACATAGTGAGAACTCATTTTGAAAAAAGGACTGAATTTTCAGAATATAAAATCAGTATAAAAATGACTGTTTTAGCCGGGCGGTGGTGGCGCATGCCTTTAATCCCAGCACTCGGGAGGCAGAGGCAGGCGGATCTCTGTGAGTTCGAGGCCAGCCTGGTCTATAAGAGCTAGTTCCAGGACAGGAACCAAAAAGCTACGGAAAAACCCTGTCTCGAAAATCAAAAAAAAAAAAAAAAAAACTGTTTTGGGGCCAGCAAGATGATTGAAAGGTGGTTTGCTGCGCAGGCCTGGCAACTTGAATTCCAGCCCGGCACCCTATATAGAGCTAGCACAGCACAGAGTTGTCCAGTGCCCTCATGTGTATGTACTTGTAGGAGTTAAAAATGTTTAGTTCTAAAGTCAGATGTGGTGGTTCACACCTATAACCCAGCAGCTAGAACCAAATACCATAAACAGAATATGTTACATAAGCAACAAAAATTGTTTTCTCAGTTTCGGCTCAGTGGGGGAAAGTGTTTGCTCCTGAGTGCAGTCACCTGTGTGTGAGCTCAATCCCTAGAGTCTACAAGTGCAGGAAGAGAAGCCAGTCCTGCAGGCTGTCTAACCACCATATGGACGACTCCCTGCCCCCACACAATGAATAAATTTAAGACAAATCTTAATGAAAACTTAGGGATTTTTCTGGAGGTTTCTTGGTGGCATACAAAACAGAGAAATGACAAGACATCATTCTTCACTAGGTCCCTTTACAGAACAATAACACCTTCAGTAGAACCCACGTTTGGGAAATGCCCAATAAATACATGTTTGAATGAATGATTATCAATAAGCCTAGAGAGGAAAAAAATGTGGTTTTTCGAGACAGGGTTTCTCTGTGGCTTTGGAGCCTGTCCTGACACTAGCTCTGTAGACCAGGCTGGCCTTGAACTCACAGAGATCCGCCTGCCTCTGCCTCCCGAGTGCTGGGATTAAAGGCATGCGCCACCATCGCCCGGCTTGTGAGGGTTTTTTGTTTTGTTTTTTAAAATAAGTCCTGGAACTTACTGTGTATACCAGGCTGGTCTTGAACTCAAGAGATCCACGTTCCTTTGCCTCCTGAATACTGAGATTAAAGTCATAGAGCACTATGCCTAGCAGATTTTGTGAATTTAGTCTATAGTGAGGGTCTGTGAGGGATAGAAGACAAGCCAAGACAACCCAGGGCATTTCAAGACAGAACTTCTCCAACCAAATATCAGAAAAAGGTACACCCAGGCATGGTGGCATGCACCTTTAGCTCCAGCACTTGGGAAGCAGAGGCAGGTGAATCTGTGAGTTCGAGGCCAACCTGGTCTACAGAGTCTCTGAGAGCCAGAGCTACATGTTGAGACCCTGTCTCAAAGAGACAAAAACAAAAACCTCCCAATCTTTAAATACTTTGCTTCCACACAGAACTCCAATAATAGACTTACTCCTATTCTTCAGTTAGCCATAACTGATGGACAGAAATAATCTACCAAAAACTGTGTTTGTCCAAGAATGTCAACTTTCCCCCCATGCTTATGCCTTTAAAATCTGGAAGACCAAAGGGGCAAAAAGCCAGTCACCTGCCAGATGTGGTGATGCACATCTGGAATTCCAGCACTTTGAAGACAAAGGCAAGAGGATTTGAGTTCTAGGCCAGCCTGGGCTACAAAAACTAATTGGTTCTGTGAGCATACCTTAACACAGCAATGGGCGGTAGACGTAGGCAGGTCTCTTGAGCTCCAGGCCACTCTGGTTTCTCATGTGTTGGCAGCCCTTCCACAGCTACATAGTGAGTTTGTCCAAAAACAATTTGCAGGGATCTTTCAGAACTAACCATTTAGTGCCCCCTAGTGGGTAGGTAAGAACAGGCCAGTACTTATTTGTACAAGTTCAGAGTTTCAAATCCTTTTTTTCTTTGAGACAGTCTCACTATTTAGCTCCTGGAACTCTGTAGACCAGGCTGGCCTTGAACTCTGAGCTATGCCTGCCTCTGCCTAAGTGCTGGTACTAAAGACATGTACCACTATGCCTGGTATCACATTCTTGTTTTTGATGACCAAACCAAATAGTGATTAAAAGCCCCAGTGATGGAACCCAACAAGGGCTTGATCCTGAGAACTTCAAAACGTCATCCTCTTGAGCCCCATGTGTGCTCTGGGACACATGCCTACCCTCACTAACAAGAATACCAGGAAACAAGAATAGAAGTAGGGTCACACTTTCTAGCCCAGGCTAGCCTAGATGGAAGCATCCTCTTGTTTCAGCATCCTAAATGCTGGGGTTGGTCCCAGGTAAACTACAAAGTTTCCACTTTTCTAATACTCAACTTTAGACTGCTTCCTGTTAATCAGCCTCTGCAGACATCACATATACTGACCAAATACTAAAATACATAGGTTAACGAGTTTTTACAAGAAATAGAGGTATTAGGGGTTCATGAATGTATTTGAGTTCTGAAGAGCATATTGGTCAGAGGCAGGATCAAGACATTAGCAGAACTAGTATTGGTAGAATGGACAGAGACTAAAATACATCTTGGGTTGGAGTAAGAGCTCAGGCAGGTGGTGGTGGGACACACCTTTAATCCTAGCACTTGTAGGCAGAGGGAGGCAGGTGGATCTGAGTTCAAGGCCAACCTGGTCCACAGAGCAAGTTCTAGGCCAGGCTCCATAGCTACTGAAAAACCCTGTCTTGTAAAGCCAAACAAACAAAAGAGCTCAGTGGTTAAGGGCCCTAACTGCTCTTCAGGAATACACAGGGTTTTGTTTTTTAAGACAGGTTTCTCATTAAAGGCGTGTGCCACCAGGTTGGATTCCCAGAACTCACAATCACTCCTGTCCAGCCCCTGGGATTCTAACACCCTCTTCTGGCCTGATACAGAAGTGAGGCAAAAGCCATAAAACCCTTTCTTGGTAACATGTTTTAATGTAGTACCCAAGATTCCAGCCTGATATTACAATATAAACTCTGTATAAACCCTCTCTGGCCTCTAACTCAGATCTTGACTTCTGAGTGCAGGCTAAAGGTGTTGGCGAAACCAGGCGCAGGGAGAGATCTTTGTGTCCTTGCTTACTTTGCATTTCTTGAATCCGTATTACAGCACACAAGGTAAGACACAAACTTACAAATAGGTCACAGAGTCACTTGTATTCAGGTTTTCTCAGGAACACAACTTTTAAGATCTCTGTAGCTCAGGTGGGCAGTGGTGGCACGTGCCTTCAATCCCAGCACCTGGGAGGCAGAGGCGGGAGATCTCTGAGTTCAAGGTCAGCTTGGTCCAAGTGCTGGTTCCAGGGCAGGCTCCAAAGCTACAGAGAAACCTTATCTCAAAAAAAAAAAAAAAAAAAAATTAAACACACACACACACACACACGAAAAGGATTTCTGGGGGGCTGGAGAGATGGCTCAGTGGTTAAGAGCATTGCCTGCTCTTCCAAAGGTCCTGAGTTCAATTCCCAGCAACCACATGGTGGCTCACAACCATCTGTAATAAGGTCTGGTGCCCTCTGCTGGCCTGCAGGCATACACAGATAGAATATTGTATACATAACAAATATTAAAAAAAAAAAAAAAAAGGATTTCTGTAGCTCTGGCTGGCTGGGGAGACCCACCTGGCTCTGCTTCCCAAGTGCTAGGAATAAAGGTGTGCGCCACCTCAGCTGGCTCAGGTGTTCTAGTCTGTCTGGGTTTCATGCATGCCTACAATTCAGGCACTGGAGAAGGTAGGCTCTTGGGTCACCAGAACTTCAAGGACAGACAAGCAGTTCCAAATCAGCCAGGGCTGCATGACTTTATATCAAAAACCACCAACACTGTTGATTTTTTTACTGATCAGAAGACCCACCACCCTCAACTGAATACATTATAGCTAGTTCAATCTAATTTCTACCCTAATTTACAAGTGGCAACCTCTCTAAAACACTAGTACTTTCCCCCTCCACAACCATCTGTGACGTGAGAACTAGCATGTAAATAGCATTTACACTCAAAGTACCAAAAGTTTTTTCATAAACAACTTTATTTATTCATGACACATTATTTAAAAAAAAATCCCATCCCCTGGAAATGAGTTAAAAAAAAATAAACAAAATCCACCTCCCACCTCCCTGTTCCCACTTCCTCCCATTCCCTCCAAATAAAAGGGAAAAGGGTAAAGAAAAACTAAAACAAAACAAAAACACCTGAAAAACAAAAACACCCCAAAACTCCCCAAAACAAAGTAGTGCATTTCCCCAGGGGTAAGGGGAATTTACACTGGAGCCACTGGGAGCGAGATCTTCCGGCTACAGAAACCTGCAAAGAAAGACACTCAAAACAGAAAAAGAAACACAAAAGGAAACAAAATAGATCACCAGGCAAACTGGAGGGGCAGGGAGCCCGAGGAAAGAAGGGCAGGGTGGGTGTAGACCTGGTAGGACAGGAGCAGGCAGGCAGGGACTGCAAAAGGCAGGGAGAAGACGAGGGAAGGAAACGAGCTGAACAGATTGGTGTCCTTCCAGAGCCCTGGGTAAAAAAAAGCCCTACCACCCGTGCCCACCTACCCTTGAGCAGGCCCAAAGAGGGTGAAGGGGAGCAGGGAAACAGGGAGCAGCTTGCACAGTTGAGATGTGTCCATGGCGAATCCCCAGAGGGAATATGTAGCCCCTGCCCCACTCCCTGGGCCTCCCCTACTCCCCAGAGCAGGTCCCTCCTCAGTTAGTTATGGGATTCTCCCCCCTTCCACAGTATATCTTTTTTTTTTTTAATATTTTTTTTTCCATCAAGGTCATCTTCTGTTTTTCTTTTTTTTTTTTAATTCTTTTTTTTTCCTTCTTTCCTCTTTTTTCCTCTCTCTCCTCCTAATACACACTTTTTTTAGTAAGGGGAATACCATGATGTCGCTCTAGCCCGGCCCCTGGAAGAAAGAAGGAGAGTTAGGTGTTAACATGGTTCCTAGAGAGCTCAGTGCAAGACCCTCCCCGTGGGCCCGCAACTGCCCCCAGTACCAAAGGGAGCTCTTAAAAGTGAGTGTTCGCTCCCAGGAATAACAAGTGGCAAACTGGGGCCTCCAGAAACGGGTAGGGAAGTGCATCTAAGACACTGAGGGTCAAGAAAAAGATCCACTGTCTGTCTCTCCAGTGCTTCACAGCTCTTAGACCCTATCTGGTGAAAAGGCAGGGTTTATCTTAACATACAACTTACTGCAAGGACAGAAGGCAAGCACAGCCACAAGATGGTGCCACTAGGCCCATCAGACAGCTAACCTTGGAACAACCTCAGTCCTCCCACACGGCTGAGGGAGAAACCAGCCTGCAGCTGGATGCTTCCAAGGAAGCAACATTTAAACCCCTCCCTAACTCTGGGAAAAGTAACAATGTCCCAGCAGTGCTTTCCCTACCCGGAGGCCTTACAAACTCTTAGTGTAAACTTTCACAGCCACCAATACCCAAAGAAAGAAAGCAGAGGAAGAAATATCTCACAACTGTCCTCATCAAATTTCTGCTCAAGGAAACAGAACTGCCTGCAACTACTTCCTCCCTCTGAACACGAGGGAGGACCAAGTCCCCAGACACCAAAAAAAAAAAAAAAAAAAAAAAAAGGACAAGGGAGCGAGGGTCCTCCGATCAGGAGAGGATGAAGCCTAAGGGCTCATGGGAGGCGGGGAAGAGGAGCAGCCCATCTATCCTGACCTGTAGACTCGACCCCGGGGCCTGCTGTTAAAACC